TCCAAATGACCAGTGGACAGTAGTGTCCAGAAGCTGGCAGAGAAGCTTCCTGGGCTGTAGTTTGGACAGCGGAGACATGTAAAGCAGTCCCGGCTTGCAGGGGATCAACATTTCTCGGCCCTTACTGATCTCACTTTCACTGATTGATCCTCGGTGATCTTGTGCTGAGGCCCAGTGCCTCATGGAGCGGGAATCCATGCATGGACACACCTGAACACATCCAGCCCCAATCATTGCTAATTTTTAAATTAGTTTGTACTGTTATCATGGCTGGGACACAAATATGATTATAATACTCTATTGATTATAATTTTATATTACACCAGGAATATATTTTATATTTATTATAATATTTTTCATGATTTTGTTTGTTTCACGTAAACCAAGTTTATTCATTTTACAGTTCTTAATATCAGTGAATTAGATCATAATAACCTTTATTTTTCTTAAGCATTTTTTTTGCTTTTTTTTTATTTTTTGGGGGGGTCACACCTGGCGATGCACAGGTGTTACTCCTGGCTCATGCACTCAGGAATTACTCCTGGCGGTGCTTGGGGGACCATATGGGATGGTGCGAATTGAACCCGGGTTGGCCGCGTGCAAGGCAAACGCCCTCCCTGCTGTGCTATCATTCCAGCCCCTTTTTCTTAGGCTTTGAGAAAAATAACATAATAAAATTTGGAGTGTAAATTTTGGAATTATTCCGTAATAATTTTTTAAATAAACTGAAGCCAGTTTTTCAATTTTTCTGGGCATCCAGAAGTTCATGACAGCATCATTTAACCAGATGTGTTTCCCAAGTATGAATGGGATCTATATATGCGATCACCTAATTTTTTACTTATCCCAATGTACAACTTAAAACCGGAAATAATATTTACCTCAACATAGTGTGCTCCCATCCATCTTTCTTTTATTCTTTTTTAAATTGAATCATAGGAGGTGGAAGGGAAACTAGGGACATTGGTGAGGGGAAATGTATACTGGAGAAGGGGAAACTTGAATGTAAGGACATGTTTTGAGACAACTTCTAAGGTTCAGCTGGACATTTTCTCTTCCCAAATAGTACTGTAAGACTGGGCCCCTTACCCTGGTCTTGGTGGTGCTCCTCAAACTAGAGGGTGCATACAATCTTTCTGGGAAGAGGTGCTTATGCAAACATAACGAGGAGGGCGAGGGGCTGGAGCAATAGTACATCGGGGAGGGCATTTGTGTTCCATGTGGCCCACACGAGTTCAATCCCTGGCATCCCATATGGTCCCCTGAGCCCTGCCAGGAGTAATTCCTGAATGCAGAACCAGGAGTAACCCCTGAGCATCGCTGGGTATGACCCAAAAAGCAAATAAATAAATAAATAAAAGCAGAGGCGTGGGGTTCTCCAACTCCAGTTCCCCACCCCTGCCCTCCCTCTCCCTCCCCCTCTCCCTCTCTTGCTCCCAAGCCTGCCCTCTGAACATGAAACTTGACTTGGTGCCCTGGACCGGACACGGTGGTGTCGGAAGCAGCCCCTGAGAAACAGGTGGTCTGTAGAAACGCGCCTTATCTCATCCGTGTTTGTGCAGCGTCCAGAGTTTACAGAGCGTGAGAAGAGCTTCCCTAGGAGCCGCCTAGGTGGGTACTAGTAAACTGGCTTGACACCTCCTGAGTCTTCCAAGGAGCATACCCCCCACCCCAGCCAGCCCCAGAAAAAAAGATCAAGGGTCTGCAGGGGGTCTGCCTACAAGGCGTTTCTCTTTCCTACTGTTCCCAGGACCAGCCCTCCTCAGACTCCTGTGGAGCAAGTGAGCAAAATCCCTGCAGGAATGCGGGGTAGAAGCCGTCTGGGGTCAGGCCAGAGCACCCAGACGGGCTTTGCAAAGCATTCTCAGGACCCTGGCTAAATCCGTGTACAGTCCCTGAGAACCTCTGGGAGGAGATCTGGATGCCAGCAGCCCCCATGCTCAAGCCTCAGCATTGAACCATCAGACTTGGTTGGCTGAGAGCTGCCAGGAATCCCCCCCCCCCCCACCGCCACCCGACACAGGTTGGAGATTCCCCAAATAAACAAGCAATGGAACAGAAGCCTGCTGAGAAGTCAGCACACAAGTGCTCCTATAATAACTGGGGTCCCGGGGGCTGGAGCGATAGCACAGTGGGTAGGGTGTTTGCCTTGCACACGGCAGACCCAGGTTCGATTCCCAATATCCCGTATGGTTCCCCCAAGCACTGCCAGGAATAATTCCTGAGTTTGTGAGCCAGGAGTAACTCCTGTACAGCACCAGGTATGACCCCAAAAGAACAACAGCAATAAAAATTAAATAAATAAATAGGCTTCCTGGACAAGGGCAGGGAAAACCAAGTTCTGCTCCCACTTTCTCTCTGACCCCATGAACGCCTGTGTGGTCTGGTGGTGGAGCCAGGAGGCTGGGGACCCTGTACCCTGATACCAAGGGTTGATATCTGGGTTGATACCAAATTCCCAGCTCCGGTGCATAACATGAGTCTCTCCACATACAGTCAGGGCCCGTGGACACTTATCACTGGCCCCCTTTTCTGAGAAGGAAGATTCCCCCCACCCATGTGTGATGGGCTGGGGGTGCTTCCTAAAGCCCCTGATATAGACTGCAAGGAGGTCGAGCTGACTGCAGCTCTGGGCCTGGCATTGCTCCACATAGGAAGGAGCTGGATCCCAATGACCCGAGCCAGGACGGCGCCATACCTCGGTGGCTTGAGGAAGTGCAGGACTAGACCCACTGCCCAGAGACCCGAGTCTTGCCAGACCCCAGGCTGTGCCCTCAGCCCCTTTGCTCAGGACCCTATGCAGCGTCACCCCAAAGGCTGTGTCAATGAATCCTTGAGCATCTGCATGATCCGTTGGACACTGCGGGACCAGGAGGTTTAGGTATGTGCTCCCCTCCAGCAAAGTAAGAAAGACAGCAAAGGGCGCTGATAGTGCAATGGGTCAGGCAGTTGCCTTGCACGTAGCCAACCCAGGTTCAATCCCCAGCACCCCAGATGATTCCTAAAGCCCTGCTGAGAGTGATCCCAAGCACAGAGCCCGGAGTAAGCCCTGAGTACTTTTGGGGTATGCCCACCCCTCTGCAAAAAAAAAAAAATATCCAGTGAAGGGCTCCTGGGACCTTGGATCACAGCCTGTGTTCAGACACCAGGACCTCAGAGCTGGAGATACTGAGTGAAGGGGCGAGAGCGGGGGAGCACTCGGCCACACTGAGTGAAAGGGGGACTGGCTGATGTTGTGCAATGGGATGCCACCTTTAGGGACAGTGTACAGAGGTGGGGTTCAAGCCTGCCAGACACTGGTCCAGCATCCTCGCTGGTACAAGGAGGCCTTCATAGTCCTGGGTGGGGCCACTGGACCAGGAGCACTTCCCCCCAACCCTACACACAGCCAGCAGGAGAGGTCCAGGGACCCCCAAGTCACAGGGTTGGGGGTCACAAGACCCCCACTGAAGGGACCCAGGAATGGGGGTGGATGGAGAAACCCGGGTGTTCACACAGGGGCCACATCCCCAGGATCGAGGGACTGGAAGGGACACCAGAGTCCCAAGAGAGCGAGGGAAGGGACAGAGGAGGGCTGCCCTACAGTCCCCAGGACGCTCTTGTCATCAGGAGAGGTCACGAAGGGGAGTTGGGATCGTGCAGCAGGGAGACGGGGACTCTCCTGTGACAGAAACGCACACCACACAGGTGTCAGAGATGCGTCCCTGAGCCTTGGTGTGCTTGGAGGGACAGCCAGGGCGTGTGCAGGTAAGAGGGAGGCGCCACCCAGGAAATGGGTCATGGCACCTGGGCTAAGCCGGGCACGGGGAGGCGCGAGCTCTTATCAGGACGCTGTCAATATTGAGGTACGCCTAATCTCGCGTGAGTAAACAGGGGGGCTGCAGGCAGTGGTTCCTGTTGGCAAAGCGGGGCCAGGCCCACAGCTGTGCGGAGCTGGGCGGGGGCTGAGTGAGATCTGACAGATGGGAGTCGGGGAGAGCCCCAGGCCCTCCCAAGGAACACTGCCCGGGCCTTCCTTCCTTGGAGGGCACTGTAGATCGGCCTCGGCTCCTTCCTCCACTGGACACGTGACCCTTTCCATCCCCCGCACCCCCCCAACTCTGCCTTCAAGGAAAACCCATTACAGGGAGGGGCGCCGAGGCAGGGGTGGCCGCGCCCTTAAAGGCAGGCTCAGCCTCACAGCTGCACCTCTGCAAAAGAAGGGGCTCTGTGCAGGGGGCCGGCAGAAACTCTGCAGCAGCAGCAGGATGGAGGAGAGCCTCGTGCTTCAAATCCGACACGACACCGGTGCCAAGCAGAGATGGCAGCTCAGGCGTGGCGTGGGCCAGAGGGAGGAGGGGCAGGGGAGGACCATCCCCTGGTGTGTGAAGGGCTGAAGGAGGGAGTCCCCCCATCATGTTCCAGAAGACCCCATTCCCTTGAGGGGGTGGAGTAAGGTGGGAGGGGGGAGGGAGGACAGCCGGCCAGTGACCCTGCGTGTCCTGTCCCCTCAGTGGTTCCTATTCCTGCCTGCCTGCCTGCTGTGCCTCTCTGTAGCCACCGGAGTGGGGGGCTCAGGTGAGTCCCGGGGCAGCTCACCTCTGAGGGCGAGGGTGAGCGCATCAGAGATGATTGGAAGCCACAGTACCCCGAGGTGACCCAGGCCCGGGGTGACCCTAGCCATGGAGCTGGGGGTTCAAGCTGTGTGTCCCCGAGGGGCTGAGAGCTCAGCAGGGAAGGACTGGGAGCGGGGTTGGGGTGGGAACCACACCTCACAGCATTGCTGACTCTGGGACCTGGATTCAGATCCATGGGGCCTCCTTGGTGCCATCCTCAAGGAGCCTCAGGGATGGAGTCATCATCAGACATTGTGGGGGGGGCATGGGTCAGTGGGGCCTGTCTGGAAAGGATCGCAGAGCCAGAGGGAACGGAGCAAATGCAGGGCTGGGCGTGGTGGGCCCGGGGGTGTCTTGGCACCCCCTAGAGAGAATGATTCTGTTTCCATAGCAGCAGTCCCGAAGATGGTCCACACCACCACCAAAAGTTGCACCTCATTCCTCTCCTCCCTGCCTCGGAGCTGCAGTGAAATCAGAGAGGAACACCCCAGCGCACAGGGTCAGTACGAACCCCACTATTATAGGCCAGGAGACCCCATGGACATTGGCGCGAGCTGCATCTCGTCTGCTCAGGCTCACCTGAACCCAGGGCATTCAATTCATGAGGGAATAAAATTTGGGGACCCCCGTGACAGCAGACGTCCCCTCTGCACAGTGTCCCCAGGGCACTCAGGTGGGGCACTGGGCCCAGGAGACACCAGGGGTCTTTTAGGATATTAGCCCTGCAGGGTATTTGCAGAGGGGAGTGGGAATAGGGCAGGGGACGGCTCCATACCCACACTCAGACGTGACCCAGGGGAGCGCCTCAGCGGGACGAGGTACCACTAGCTATGCTGGACTCTCCTGGTCTGTCGGGTGACAAGAGCTCTCAGCCAGGGTCTCTGGGGTGTCCCCTTGCAGATGGGCTGTACCTGCTCCGCACGGAGAAGGGGCTCATCTACCAGACCTTCTGTGACATGACCACGAATGGGGGAGGCTGGACGCTGGTGGCCAGTGTGCACGAGAACTACCTGGCGGGAAAGTGCACAGCGGGGGACCGCTGGTCCAGCCAGCAGGGCAACCGGGCCGACTACCCCGAGGGGGACGACAACTGGGCCAATTACAACACCTTCGGGTCCGCAGAGGCGGCCACCAGTGATGACTACAAGGTGGGCACTTGCAGCGGGAACAGTGGGCGGACTGAGTTCCGGGCACGCGGGGTGGGGCATGAACAGCATGAGCCCTCTCTCTCTCTCTCCTGAGTCACCGGGTCCTGGGTCAGGTGGGGTCCCGCTTTGAGGGACTGGGGTGCCATTACCGCTCCCATCCACCCCCTGCATGTGGCCCCCGGCTTCACCAAGGCTGTGTGGGGAGCAGACGTGAGCTCACATGATGCCACGGGCTGTGTGTGCGCAGAACCCCGGCTACTATGACATCCAGGCCCTGGACCTGGGCATCTGGCATGTGCCCAACAAGACGCCCCTGGACTCCTGGAGGAACAGTTCCCTGTTGAGGTACCACACCTTCTCGGGCTTCTTCCAGAGACTCGGACACAATCTCTTTGGCCTCTACCAGGTACCCGGGGTGATGGGGCACTTGGGGGGTGTGCGTGGGTCTGTCTCCCCCGAGTCGCTGTGACCTCTCTGCCTGGTCCCTCGGGAGCTGAGCCAAGCAGGGGAGAGCCTCAGGGAGACCAAGAGCGGGTATGGAGGGAGAAGACCCAGGGACTGCACTCGGAGAGACGCCACACACATGCAGAGGGACCCCTCAGGACTCCCTTCTCCGTGGGTCTCCTGAGAGAGCCCGTCCACCTGCTGTGGTGGCTGCACTCTCACCTGGCCGGCCACGGGTCTTGCAGAGGTACCCGGTGAAATACAGCATCGGGAAGTGTTGGACAGACAACGGCCCAGCCATTCCTGTGGACTATGACTATGGAGATGCCAAAAAAACCGCCTCTTACTACTCCCCGCAGGGCCAGAGTGAGTAGAAAGCCATCCCATCCCCTCCCTCCCCCAATTCCCACCCTCTCTAACCCCCACCCACCACCGCCAGCCAGGGGAACAGAGCCTGCTTGTCTAGGGATCTGCTCTGCCCTCTGTCCCTTTTGCCATCATGAGAATTTAATGGAATTAGATTTATCATGATTTTCATAGCAGAAGGGAATCAAGTGGTCTCCTGATATTTTTTTCTGGGTGGGAGGAGATGGGTTGGGGCCACACTGGTGGTCTCAATCCTGGTGGGCTCAGGGAACACTCTAGGGGGCTCGAGATAAATGTGGGTCAGCTCCTTGCAAGGAGCTGCTACTGCTGTTCTCTCTCCATTCCCAGAATTCAGGCTTTTCCCAGCACCTGGCATTGATCTATAATAGCTACAAAGGTGCAGATGCAGGCTTAGGCCCAGGAAAGAATGAGCAACATAGTAAGAAAACTTCATTTTTATGAAGAACGGTCATTAAGAAAAGGGGATAATTTTTATCTGAATACAAGAGTGACGTGAATTCTTTGTTGGAAAGAGCTTTCAGGAGCTGGAGCGATAGTACAGCAGGGAGAGTGTATGCCTTGCACACAGCCAAACCTGGGTTCAATATCTGGCATCCCTTATGGTCCCCCAAGCATTGCCAGGAGTGATTCCTGAGTGCAGAGCCAGAAGTCAGTCCTGAGCACTGCTGGGTATGGGCCCCCAAACAAACAAAATTTTAAAATAATAAATAAAATAGTTTTTAAAAAGAACAAGAGGGGTCGGAGCGATAGCATTGTGGATAGGGCATTTGCCTTGCACGTGGCTGACCTGAGTTCAATCCCCGGCATCCCATATGGTCTTCTGAGCACCGCCAGGAGTAATTCCTGAGTGCAGAGCCAGGAGAAACCCCTGAGCATCACTTTGTGTGACCCAAAAAGCAAAAATATAAAATAAAATAAAAAGAAGAGAGCTTTCAGTGTGGATTTGGGAGATGCCAAGAAAGCAAGTGAAGGAGAGGAGATGGTACCCCAGTGCTGGGCCGTGGCGCTCACGCAGAGGCCAAAACTGACCTTTCCCCTGCCTGCTGGGCCCTTGCTCATCTTCTTAGAGAACGTCCCATGGGGCCTGAGTTTCTTGTAGCCTACAGCTGACCAGCGTCCCCGTGAGCCCAGCTGTTCCCTTTTCCAGGTGGAGAGAGGTGTCTCTAGGCCAAGCTCCTGGTAGGGGGCCCCCTCCCCACAGAAGGAGTGGCTCCCCTGCCAGCTGCCGGATTGGGTTTCGACCACACTCCTGGTTAGGGTATCCAATGGTCAAAGGAAGCTCAATGGACTTTTTTTTTTCTTTTTGGGTCACACCTGGCTGTGCTCAGGGCTTACTCCTGGCTCTGCACTCAGGAATCACTCCTGGCGGTGCTCAGGGGACCATATGGGATGCTGGGAATCGAACCCGGGATGACCGCATGCAAGGCAAACACTCTACCCACTGTGCTATCTCTCCAGCCCCTCGATGGACTTTTAAACTAACCTTTACATTTTCCTTCTTTGTTGTTTAGTTTGGGAGGCCACACCCGGCAATGCTCAGGGGTTCCTCCTGACTCTGCACTTGAGGATCACTCCTGGAAGTGGTCAGGGGATCAGAGGGGGTGCTGGGGACTGAACCCAGGGTGGCCACATGCTAAGGAAAGCACCCTCCCGCTATTTGAGGTCTCCAGTCCTGAACTTTAAACGTTTTGTTGTTTTGGTTTGGTTTTTTGCTTTTTGGGTCACATACGGCAATGCTCAGGGGTTACTCCTGGCTCATGCATTCAGGAATTACTCCTGATGGCGCTCAGGGGACCATATGGGATGCTAGGAATCGAACCCGGGTCAGCCGCATGCAAGGTAAATGCCCTACCCACTGTGCTATCACTCCAGTCCCCTGAGCTTCAAACGTTTAAACTTTCCCTGAAACTTTCAAACTTACCTGCCTCTGCTCTTCTTTTCCAGAGGAGTTTGAGGCCGGGTTCATCCAGTTCCGGGTGTTCAATAAAGAGAAAGCAGCCAACGCTCTGTGTGCAGGGATGAGAGTCACAGGATGCAACACAGAATACGTGAGTTGGGAGGGAAACGGTCTGTGCTGGCATGATGCATGTGTGATGTGTGCATGCATATATGTGTGTTGCATATGTGTTCGTGTGTGTGTGAGGGGTGAGGGGGGGTTCCCAACCACTTCCTCCATGGCTCCTGGGTCTCCCACTATTCCAGAGTGAGTCCTTCACACACCTTCATGCGTGACTCCCTAACTACACACAAAACAGGGCTCACACTTGCAGTGGTGGGAGATGCTCTGTGGTGGTCATCTGGGCACTCAGACAGGGACAAGCATGGCTAGTGCATCAGAGAACATCACAGGAAGGAGTAGTGACAGTGTCTTGGGACAAATAAGTCATTTATCTGTGTAGACCTGAGCTCCACCAGGAGCTACCAGCTCTACTAAAGAAACAAATGGGATTTCTGAGAATGTGACAGTTGTGTCTAGTGTCAAGAAACATATAAGTGAGCCCGGAGAGATGGGTAAGGTGCTTGCCTTGCACACAGTCAACCCCAGGTTCAATCTCCCACAACCCATGTGGTCTCCCCAGTACTGCCAGGAGTGATTCCTGAGTGCAGAGCCTGGAGTAACCCCTGAGCAACACCAGGTGTGGCCCAGAAACAAAAATATAATTATAATAATTGTTTAAAAAGGAGAGCCAGAGCAATAGCACAGTGGGTAGGGCATTTGCCTTGCACATGGACAACCTGGGTTCAATCCCCCACATCCCATATGGTCACCCAAGAACCACCAGGAGTGATTCCTGGGTAAACAGCCGGCAGTAACTCTTGACCATTGCCCAGTGTGAGCCAAAAGGCAAAAAAAAAAAAAAGGCATAAGTATCCAACAAGGACCTGGAGAGAATAGATCATTTGTAGGATGAGAATCAACATGTTCAAAATATCAGTGCTGGAGGGGATGTGGTCTGTGGAGGATCAGGAAGCTTTGAGTTGAAGAATGAGCTACTTGCTGGTAGAAGCCAGAGCAGTGATTTGAAAACCTAGGACATGGCATTCTGGAGAAGGTTCAGTGGGCAAAGCTGGGTCAGGGCCATGTCAGCGATGGTCAGGGACTTGTGGATCACGGTGCTGGGGAATTATGGATCTGGGTGAGAGAGGACCAAATTAAGGGCATGGAGTTAATGGGGCAGGGGCAGGCTGGTGATAGATGAGGGTTATGGTCATGGACTGGGGTCCTGTTAGCCACGGCACAGGGGAAAACTGCCAAAGGGTGGGGACATGTTGGTGAGGAATGAGGAATATGTTGGTGATTGTCAAGAAATGTTGGAATTGAAGCCATAGCACAGCGGGTAGGGCACTTCCCTTGCACACAGTCAACCCAGGTTCCATCCCCGACATCCCATGTGGTCCCCCAAGCACTACTAAGACCGATTCCTGAGTGCAGAGTCAGGAGTAACCCCTGAGCACCACCAGGTGTGAAACACTTTCCCCTCCCCCCAAAAAAAAAGAAATGTTGGTGATGAATCAAGGGTATGTGCTGGGGATGAGTCAGGTCACACTGGTGATAAGGGATATAGCCATGGATCAAGTTCACATGAGAGCAACACTCTGGACACTGTGACATGGGCAGTGGTGGTGATGGGCACTAAAATGCAATTCAATCGTTCTGGAAGACTGACTGCTATCCAAATAAGACAAGGTGAGGCTCAAGAGATAGTACAGCAGGGAGGGCACTTGCCTTGCATGCAGTGAATCAGATTCTATCTCTAGCACACCAAGGGTGATCCCTGAGTGCAGAGCCAGGAGGAACCCCTGATCATCACCAGGTCTTACCACACACACACACAGAGTGACAATTTGACAAAAAGAGGAGCAGGGTTGGGGTCAGAGGGAACAGGATTCCTTTGCTTTTGCTCAGGCGGGGCGCTAGACACCTGTGAGCTCACAGGACCCCCTAGGGACATGGGATGAGGGTGCCAGCAGGACTCCAGGGCAGAGATGGAGGGGCCAAGACCACAGGAGGAGGCTGAGAGCAGCTAAAGTCAAGGAGCCTCAACAGGAGCAATGCAGACTGAACCCTGCGCAGGTGCGTTTAGGGGCTGGCACAGGCAGAGAGGCAGGAGAGGGCTATGAGGGGGCTGGGAAGGAGGCAGGCAGGAAACCTGGAGGAGAGCTTCACTTCAGAGGGCTTCAGGGGGAAGGTCCAGCCCAGGAGGCGGGGAGCAGGGTCAAGAATGTGCACTGGTGAAGGGATGGGTGTTCGATCATTGTGTGAGTGTAACCCAAACATGAAAGCTTGCAACTACCTCATGGTGATTTAATAAAATTTTTAAAAAGAATGTGGCCAAGGGACTGGAGCAATAGCACTGCAGGTAGGGCATTTGCTTTGCACGTGGCCCCAGGTTCAATCCCCAGCATCCCATATGGTCCCTCGAGCACCACCAGGAGTAATTCCTGAGTGCAGAGCCAGGAATAACCCCTGAGCATCGCTGGGTGTGACCCAAAAAAGAAAAAAAAATGTGGCAGGCAACTGGGTCAACCCTTTTGGAAAACAGTATGGACGATTCTCAATAAATTAGAATTTGATCTCCCATTTGACCCAGCAGTACCACTCCTGGGAATATATCGCAGAGAGGCATAAAAGTATAGTCGAAGTGACATCTGCACTTGTTTGTTCATTGCAGCACTCTTTACAATAGCCAGAAACTGGAAGAAACCTGAGTGCCCGAGAACAGATGACTGGTTAAAGAAACTTTGGTACATTTACACAATGGAGTACTATGTAGCTGTTAGAAAAGATGAAGTCATGAAATTCACATACAAGTGGTACTACATGGAAAGTATCATGTTAAGCGAAATGAGTCAGAATGAGTGGGATAGACACAGAAATATTGCATTCATCTGGGGAACATAAAGCAACAAAATGGGAGATTAACACCCAGGAGTGGTCGAGATTAGTACCAGGAATTTTGCTCCATGACTTGGAGGCCAGCCACACGTTCTAGTGGAAAAGGAAGCTCAGATAGAGAAGAGAACACCAAATAAAGGGTGTTGGGAGGATCCTCCCAGGGTGGGAGAAGCATGCTGAAAGTACATTATAGACCAAACATGATTGTCACTCAATGCCTCTCTTGCAAACCACAGGACCCAAAAGGAGAGAGAACAAAAGGGAATGCCCTGCCACAGAGGCAGGGTGGGATGGGGGGGGATGGGGGGTGGGAGGGATGCTGGGACCCGTGGTGGTGGAGGATGGGTGCTGGTGGAGAGATGGGTACCTGATCATTGTATAACTGAAACCCAAGCACAAAAATTTGTAAGTCTACAACTGTACCTCATGGTGTTTCACTAATAATAATTTTTTAAAAAAAAGTGGCCGGGAGGTGTGCGCAGGCGCGAGGTGGCACATCCCTCACTGATTGGGTCCTTTTGCTTCCAGCACTGCATTGGGGGAGGTGGTTACTTTCCGGAGGGGGTCAGACAATGCGGGGACTTCTCTGCTTTTGACTGGAATGGATACGGGACCCACTACTGGTACAGCAGCAGCCGGGAAATCACGGAGGCGGCCGTGCTTCTGTTCTACCGCTGAGAGCTCAGAGTTGGAGACCCAGAGCCTGAGCCACATCCCAGTGACAGAAGGACAAAGGTTACCCGTGAGCACAAAAGAATAAACTGCACTGTGGCGAGTGTGATGGCACCACGGGTAGGGTGCTTGTCTTGCACACTGCCAACCCAGGTTCAAACTTTGCTCAGTTTGAACCACCTCTGGTCCCCTCGTCAAGAGTGATCCCCAAGCACTGCCGGGTGTGGCCCCAAAGCAAAGCAAAACAAAAAAATAAACTGCATCCATTCACGACTCTGGGTTTCTCAGACTTCTTCCATTGAGCTGAACCCTTAAGAGTAATGTAGCTAAATGATACCATTCTGATGGATTTTTATCGCCAGCATCCTAGTTGGAAATCACATCTCTGGGACTCCAGAACACTCTCCTCTGGGCACTCCATGTTAGAGTGAAGGGTGGGAGGAAAGATTCCTTTCTTGTTCACCCCTCCTGCCGTGACATCAGAGGCTACTCAAGCTACCAACTTACAGGCTGGTAGCTCTGTTCTGTGGAAACAGAGGGCCAGAGTGACAGTATTGTGGGCAGAGCATTTGCTTTGCATGTGACTGACCCGGGCTCCATCCCCGGCACCGTATATAGTCCCCTGAGTCCTACCAGGAGTGATCTCTGAGCACAGAGCCGGGAACAAGTCCTGAGCACCTCAAAAACCAAAGAAATAGAGGCCCAGCCACTGTTGCCAGCGTCATTCCCACTCGGAGCTGCAGGAGAGTCTCCCTGCGTGGATTCTGGTGCCAGTCCTGCTGTGGGTCTGTTTCTCCCAAGGACAGTCGCTGGCTGCAGACTTGAGTGGGCGGGGCTGGGCAACTGCTCCTGCAGCCACACCCCAGCATTGGCTCCTCCGTCCAATTCCCCTCAGGGTGGAGGAGCACGTCAGGCTGCATGCAGGCTGTCCTCTCCTCTCCATGGAGGGGGGACAGGAGAGCCCACCCCCCTCGGGACCGGTCCTCAACGGGACAGGAGGGCAGATGAGGGGAGGGGGCTGGACCTGAGAGGCAAATGGGGAGGCGGGAGTGGAGGGGGCACCAGGAGACACAATAATGGGTCCTAGAAGGTGTGACCCACTGGGGGGGGCGTGCCCCAAGGTGGTACCTGCACAGGGTGATGGTCAAAGTGGGGGGTGGGGGGAGGGAGGAAGTGGTTGGGGAAGAAGAGAAGACGGGAGAGATGGAGGAGGAGGAGGAGCTGGAGAAGGAGGGGTAGGAGCACAGTCCCCCATCCCCACCCGGGCCTTGTGAGGGGCTGGGAGGAGACCATGGAGGGACTTGAGAAACCCGAGGTTCCCCTGCACTGCCCTCTCCCCTCTCGTGTCTCTCCAGCTCCGGCGTCTTCTGTGGGGGAGAACGAGACACTGGGTACTCCCGAGGTGAGATCGTTCAGGCCCAGGGCACATAGAGCACCCAAAAATAAGGCAGGGGATCCCGAGTGAGTGGGGTCATGTTTGAGTCAAAGCCTGAGGAGCAGCTGGTCTCTTCTTTTTTGCTTTTTGGGTCACACCCAGAGATGCACAGGAGTTATTCCTGGCTCTTTCACTCAGGAATTACTCCTGACGGTGCTCGGGGGACCATATGAGATGCTGGGAATCGAACCCAGGTAGGCCGCATGCAAGGCAAACGCCCTACCCGCTGTGCTATCGCTCCAGCCCTGCATCTGGTCACTTCTCACCCCCTGAATATCACTGTCAGATGGACAGGTGACCCCACTTCCGTGAGGGAACTTCCCAGTAAAGAGCCGAAAAGTCCCCAGGGGGTAGAAAAGCTTCTCTGCTTCCCCCTGCAAAAAGGATGTTGCTACATGAAAGCCTCCCCTGAAACTCACTGCCTGGTGTAGCAGGTGAGGGCTCACTTCTCTGCAAAACAGTGCTGCTCCCTGGAGGAAGTTTAATTTTTTTCTTTTGGGGTCACACCCAGTGATGCTCAGGGGTTACTCCTGGCTCTGCATTCGGGAATTATTCCTGGCAGTGCTCGGTGTTTGGAGGACTATATGGGATGCCAGAGATTGAATGTGGGTCAACTGTGTGCAAGGCAAATGCCCTACCCACTGTGCTATTGCTCCGGCCCCAATGAATGCAGGAAGTTTAAAGGGGATCCCGGGTCCCTGGACTGCTGTCAGGTCACTGCTGTGTGGGGAGAGGCAGGCTGGGTGGCCTGCTGCTCACCCAGAGCCTCACATTTGCACCACCCAGTGCCAGAGAGCTTTGTGGAAGACACCTCCAGCCCATGTCCCCCACAGTTGCCAGGGCCTAGGTCTGTGGCTCTGGCCCCAAAGATCAGAACTGAGACCCGGAACAACAGTGCAGTGGGGAGGGCCTTTTGCCTTGCAGCGGCTGACCAGGGTTCAATTCCCAGCATCTTATATGATTCCCCGCGTAACGCCAGGAGTGATCCCTGAGCCTAGAGCCAGGAGTTAAGTCCTGAGCATGTGACCCAAATCCTAAAGAAATAAAGTGTTGCTGTGTCGATCTCAGCATCACCTGTGAGATCTGTCCCCAGTGTTTCCCTGGGCAGTGGGGTTCTCCCTAGCCCGTGCCCTCGCCGGCAGCTGGGGATGGGGTAGGTTTGTTCATCTCCAAGCACAGCACAAGTTCCTGTGTCCTACTCGCTCCGTGACGTTGAGCAGACATGGAGAACAGACAGAAGCACGTAAAAGGACCACTTCTCTGAAATCCTGAGAAAGCAGAACAGCCGCTCCATCCACTGCAGCAGCACCTCTCTGCCATCCCCTGGGTCATTTACTGACCCCAGGGGCCAGCTCGAGCAGCGGCCTTCAACAACTGGACCCCAGCCATGCCAGTGTGCAGGTGTAGACAGGCTGAGGAACTCGGAGCTAAGAATTCAGGAGGAGCCCACCTGCGAGTGCCCCCTGGTGGCCACAGTGAGGAACAGCAAGACACAGCGAGGGTCCTTGGGCTCAGTGCAGAACTGGTGGGTTACTTATATGGGTTAATTTCAGTTCCAAACAATGACACAGCAAAGGTCCTCACAGGAGGGTGAGCTGAGATTCCATCACAGCATCCGGAGATATTGGGGCATCCACACAGATCCTGAGGCAATCCTGTTGTCTAATCCAATAGATATCAGGGAGCTCCACACATATCAGTCTAGCCTCGCTCCTGTCAATCACCCTGGGAGACACCAGAGAAGATGAGCTTCCCCCAGGACTGCAAATTTGGGGCTCCCGCGTGCCAAGCATTCTTACCAGTCACCTCCCCAGTCTTCATGCAGCCAGAAGACTGAAAACTTTGTCCTGGATGGCGTCTCATTCCAGAATCTCAACTGTGCTGGGGGCCACAGTGTTGGGGATCAAAGAATGCCCCATACATGCTAGGGATGAACTCTACCTGTGAGAGCTCTCCCGAGAGCTGGGACACATATTGTAATAACACAAGTAGGATTTCTGCGTTACTGACAGAAAAATAAACCCGCAATACTGGAGTGGTGGTGAAAACAGTTCCTGCATTATGTATAGTATAAAATATATTCTACATCCATAATTTATATGACATAATAAGCACAAAATTTATTCCTGTTCTTAAAAATTGCCTTACTGGGGGCTGGAGCGATAGCACAGTGAGTTTGCCTTGCACACAGCTGACCTGGGTACGATTCCCAGCACCCCATATGGTCCCCCCAAGCACTGCCAGGAGTGATTCCTGAGTGCCGAGGCAGGAGTAACTCCTGAGCATCGCCAGGTGTGACCCAAAAAGAAAAAAAAATGCCTTACTTGGGAAGCAGAGAGTTGGACAGCACATTAAAGAGACGGTAAAGCCATTTGCCTTGCATGTGGCTGACCCAGGCTTGATCCCCAGTATCCCATATGGTCCCCCCAAGAACCACTAGAAGAATTTGCTGAGTGCAGAGCCAGAAGTAACCCCTGAGTATTGCCAGGTGTAGCATAAAAAAGAACAAAAAAAAATCAAATAAAGTGGCTTTTTAAAGGGGGCTGGGGAGATAACTGAAGACAATGCTTGGCACGTGGGAGCCCCAGACCTGCATGATAACCTGAGTAATGCTAGGTGTGTCCCTCCAAAAAAAATTGGGTTTTGTTTTGGCTTATGGACCACACCTGCTAGTGCTCAGGGCTTACTCCTGGCTCTGTGCTTGGGAGTCACTCCTAGCGGTGCTCTGGAGACCATACGCAATGCCAGGGATTTAACTGGAGTCAGCTGTGTGTAAGACAAGTGCCTTACCTGAGTTCTGCCAGTACAGCTGAGTGTGGCCCAAACAAAAACACAAAAACAAAATCCAATGGGAATGAACTGCAGCCCTCCCCTTGAGAACACATGCGTTCATACATTCACACACATGCTTACACATAGTATCACACACAGTCACACGCTCACGCACACGCACGGAGTTGGTGGCCCTTTTTCTGCGGGGGTGGGAGTAGGCCCACACCTCATGATGCTTAGGGCTTACTCCTACACCTAGGAATCACTCCTGGAGATGGTCGGGAGGACCATATGGGAGTCCGGGAATCGAATCCAGGACAGCCTCATGCAAGGCAAATACCCTAACACCCTACCTACTGTACTATCACTCCGGGCCCTCGTGGTGATGTCTAGAATGTTGCTGTGCTCAGTGTGTTTTTTCACTGGCCAGTAGCTGGCTGGAGATGCCCAAAAGCCCCGTTAGCACGCTGAAAGATGGACCCCAGTAAACAGTTGGGAGGTGGCAACCGGCCCCCACACTGCCCCACCCTGTGTCCACCAGGGGCCACTGGCAGCACAGATGCTGCCAGAGGAAGAGTCTTGGGGGTCTGGCAGGTAGGGTCCGGGGACAGACAGATGACAGACAGCACAGCAGGTACATGTGGCACTGCCTGCAGGTGTGAGGAGCAAGTCCTGGGGAGAGATGGGGGAGAGGCGGGTGACAGGAACACCCCCAAGTGCAGCAGTCAGAGTGGTCACCTGACCCTGAGTGCTGAGGGCCCCCCGTCCCCGGGTAGTACAGGAAAGGATCTGACGGGCATGTCCAGGCTGGAGGGACGGCCAGCAGAGTCCTTGGAGCCAGAGGAAAGTGGAGAGGGCTCCTGTCTCCCACTCCCCCTCCCCCTTGCCCTGCTTCCTGCTGCCGGGAGGGCTGGGGCTGCCCTCTTGGCTTCAATGCCCCATCTCACTGCACAGGGGTCCTCCCCACCCTGTTCCCAATGATAGGGACACCCATCCACAGGCCCCACAGCTGTGCAGGATGGGGTCATGGGGCCCCGCAAGCTCCCTCCCTCCCAGGCCTGAACTCGGGAGACCAGCTCTAGGTCCTCCTGGAGCCCCCCACCAGCCGAGCCCCCCAGGATGGGTCTGCCCTGCCAGCCCCCCACTCCTGCACTGCAAGGCTACCCTTTCTGATGGCCGCCAGGCCTGGGCAGCAGGGTGGCGAGCCCCAGTGAAGACTTCCAGACTGCCCCCCTCGTTCTTGCTCCCCAGCATTCTCTACCTCCATTTATGACATTCTCGACTGGCTCCCATCACACACACACACACACACACACACACACACACACACACACACACACCAGTCTCTGCAATACTGAGACAGTGCTGTGCACAGTGTCCTTCTAAAACCTCCCTTCTAGAACCTTTTTGAGCCCCCTGTAGTTCCTTGGTGGCTGCAAATTAGCTGGCAGTAGGCTCAGGGCTCAGAGCCCACCATATGCAGTGGGACGGTGAGTGTGAGCATGCAGCAAGCCTGAGAGCGGGGAAGGAGTTGCCACGGTAACCACGCTGACACCCAAACCTTCCACAGTGATCTTGCCGCTTCCCCAGAGGGAACAGTGGGCAACAGCCTTCGAGCTGACTGCCTGATGCTGCTTTAGAAAACAAGGCAGGAGGGAAGGGCCCCGAACTCTGGGTCTGTGGCACACAACCTGGGGCCTGGCTGGTTTGTGCAGTTGAGACCTGGGTGAAGCATCTGAGCCAGAATTCAGGTGCTGCTGTGCAGGAAGCGAATCAGAAGGTCGGTGCGTACAAGGGCCCGGTGATCAGAGGATAAGGTGGAAGACAGGCAGCGCCTGGGGGACCAGAGAGGAAGGTCCAAGTGTGGCGTGGGATAATGCCAAGGTCCCATGAGGTCATGCATCTCCTTGATCACCTCTGCTGGGGAGCTTCATGCTATAGTGACTCAGCGAGACTCAGGGACACAATGACCAATATGGAGGGTGGATGTAGAGGGCATGGTGACCCCGCCCCCCAGCACTGGAATCAGGGGCCACCTCCACAGCAGGGACAGAGAAGACTGGCTGAGCTTAGAGCAGGAAGAGGGTGGCAGAAGCACACAGTGTAACACTGACCAGAGAGCAAAGTGGCCTGGCTCTGGAAGGCAAACGTGGTTTCTGCACGCTACGATCACTCTCTCCAAGAAGGCCGCCTGCCCACACCCCACCAAACCTCCCACCCCTTGCTGCCGTGGCCCACCCCGTTCTCCACTATGATCTCCCTGAGCCCCAAGAACAAAGATTCAGGTTGTGTCCTGACCCCAGCCCAAGAATGAGCCGGCAACAAGCAGACCCGTGACCACTAGCCGGGGAAGGAAGGACGGGAGCAGTGGTCAAAGGGAGCTGGTTCTGGGTCTCTGTGGAACAAAAAGACTTCAGTTAAAATGCGCCAGGGCCCGGGTGTGGCTCGGAGGTACTGTGAGACCTTAAGTTCGATGCCTAGCACCACCATGTTATGACCCAAAAATACAAACAAAGGGGCCAGAGCCATAGTGCAGCGGGGAGGATGTTTACCTTGCACGTGGCTGACCCGAGTTCAATCCCCAGCATCCCATCTGGTCCCAAGCACCGCCAGGAGTAACTCATGAGTGCATGAGCCAGGAGTAACCCCTCAGCATCGCTGGGTGTGACTCAAAAAGCAATAAATAAATAAATAAATTCTCAAACTATTCTGTGAAGTCCACTGTGATAGTTTACTGCGCAGAGGAGAGTGTCCCTCAGAAAAAATTATCCCACGTTTCCCCAGATTTTCTCAGGCCACTGTCTCGACAGCGGGCAGGCTGAAGACCGTCCTGTCCCCAAACAGCACCTGTGAGGCCTGGATCCTAGGACACTGAGACAAACAAGGCCCCCCGCACTACTTCAAAGTCTGAAAGGCAGACACATTGTTGAGATTTTTCTGTTTTTCTTTTCTTTTTTTTTTAGAGAAATTTATACAAAAATAGTTAAACTACAGTTGTTTTTTATCTGAAAACTAGCTCTCACGTGATCTACTAGTGAACATTAAGTTTCTTGGAACTTCACTCTAAGAAATAACAACCGTGAACCACATTTTTAGAAGAAAACTATATTCTTTTAAAGAAAATGAAAATACTCTCAAAGGAAAAACTTAATTTAAGTCAACTCAGATCCTTTGGTCGTGGAGCCTGGTACACAGTGCTTGCCCGCAGCCGCTGTTCTCCCGCCCGCCCCCTGCTCGCGCGTGGGACACTCCCGGGGCCACTCTGGACCCGGCGGGGGGCGGGGGACACACACGCCCCAGAAGGTTCTCCCCTGCCACTCCCTTTCTGGCTGAGGCGGGGCGAGGTGAGAGAGGGAAGGAGTGTAGGGACCAGGTCGGGTCCCAGGGGTGAAGCGTGTGGCTGAAAGGACCCCCAGAACCTGGGGGCCCACAGCCGCCAAAGGCAGACCCCTCGAGGGCCACGTTCTTCACCCCATACTGTGACCCACCCTCCCTCGGCCCCTTCCTGCCAGGCACAGACACGGCACAGGGCAGGCAGAAACACTCGAGCCCCCGCCACCCCGCCAGGCCCCGCTGGCGGCCCTGGCACCCCCTACCCTGCACCAACCACACGGTCTGGGAGCCTGCCCCCAGGGGCTGGGGGAGGAGGCCCCGGGACAGGGGCACGGGAGGGCAGGAGGCAGGTGCAATCCAGGGGGCAGCGGGGCTGGAGGAGGCACGGACGGTGAATAAATAGAATAGCTTCTCGCGGGGCCGGCCCCTGCGGACAGCAGCTCGGTGGCAGGGGTGGGGAGGGCGAAGGGAGGCAGCGCTGACCTGGGGCACTTACACACAAACACACCGCTCACACCACACAAACCCACCACACACCCCTCAGATCTCACAATCCATACACGCGCGCGCACACACACCTCGGACCTCGCAATCCACTCGCACACACACCCTCACACCAAACACTTCACACAGCACAAACCCATCATTCTCCATACACACTCCCCTCACACCACACACATCCCTCACACCACACAAACCCCTCACACCACACACACACTCCTCACAGAGCAACCTACCACACACTCCTCACACCACACAAACCTATCACTCTCCACACACACACACACCCCCCTCATACCACACAAATCCATCACACACCCCTCAGATCTCACAAATCCATTCACTCCATACACACACACACACCCTTCACAATACACACACACACACATACCTCATAAACCCATCATTCTCCACACACGCGCAAACACATACCTCACACACATACACCCCTCACACACCACACACACACCCCTCACACCACACACAAACATACCACACAAACTCATAAGACACACACACAGACACACATGTATGACAAAACCCATCACACACCCCTCACACTTCACATCACAAAGCCTGTCGTACACACCCCACACACATCCCACATCCCTCACATCTCTCACGCAGACACACAGGCCCCAGGCCGGCCGCCCTGCTCAGAGCTCCGTGACCTGCACAGTGGGGGAGGGGAGTGGGCCTGGCCGGAGGCGCCGGAGGTGGCAGCGGCGACACAGCAGGTGACCCTCCAGGGGGTAGCAGCGGCGCCCATCGTCTCCGCTCAGCTGCAGCCCGCAGTCCTAGGGAGGAACAGAGCCCCAAGGTTACAGACAGTTCAGGGGATGGGTCGGGGGGCGAGGGGGCGCTGCCCGGCCTCGAAGGACTCTTGCTGTCACTCTGGGCGCAGGAGATGTCTGCTGGGGTCAGCAATGGGCTTCAAGGCTGGGACGGGGACAGAGGACAGAGCAGTGACAGTGATGGGCATGAAAATGGGACTCAGGGCTGGAGCCATAGTACAGCGGGGAGGCCTCTTGCTTTTGCACTCGGCCAACACCAGTTCCATCCCCAGAACCCCATAAGGTTCCCTGAGCACCGCCAGGAGTGATCCTGAGCCAGGAGTCTGCCTGAGCACTGTCAGAGGTGAAAGGGTTTCCGGGGCTCCCTCTGGCACTGCTGGCTCACACTCGGGCACTCGAGGCTTGTACACCACACTCGAGCACACTAGGCTTGTGTGTGTCATCCTCGGGCACACTAGCCTTGTATATCACACTCGGGCAATGGGGCTTGTGCACCACACTCGCAGCCGCTCCACAGCCTCACAGATGGTCTGTACCCACGAAGGCCATCACACCTCCAGGGAGTGCGGTAAGGGGCACCAACAGGCAGCGGGTCAGCCCCATGAGGCGGGAAAAGTCACCTCTGCACCCACCTCTTGCAGCGGACCCTGGTTCAATCACAGGCACCACACACGGTCCCCTGAGCACCTGCCACCGAGAATGACCCCTAAGCACTCCCAGGTGTGGTTCCCCCACAAAAAAAGAAAAAAAGAAAAGAAAAGGCCCATCTTCACCCCTGCACCTCTCCAGAGTCCTCAGATCAATACAGGGAGAATGAGGACCGGGCCAAGTGGGGAGAAGGGAGAGGGCCCATGGGGTGACGAGTGCCGGGGCAGAGCCAGGAGAGAGGTGCTGGTGGCCCCAACTCTGCGAGGACACGGCGCGGCTCACCTCGCAGTGGTAGCACTCCACGTGGTAGTCCCTGTCCATGGACACCACCCGGATGGTCGTCTCGCAGCCCTGCAGGGGGGAGAAGGCGAGAGCTCAGTGTGGGGCTCAGCACGAGGCTTGGCACACCCCACACAGCAGTCCTGGTCCAAGCCTGGCCTGGTGGCAGCACCACCCCTGGGCCTGTCCTCGGCTCTGCAGGCAGGGGCGCACCCAGGGGCACCCGGGCCCGAGAGCGGCTCCATCCCCTGGGCGTCAGGAAGCAGCCAGGGGCACTGGCTGGGAGCAGCAGGTGGGCCCAGTGCTCTGGAGAGAGCAGGGCACGGTACCCCCTGGGGGGGGGGGGGTTGCTGCCAGCCAGCAGAGCTCAGGGACCCTGGAGGGTTGCAGGGCACTGGCAAGCAGAGGGGCCCCATCTCCCTGGAATTCGAGCAGGGCCCCTTGGCATGTACCTACCTGGGCGGGGAGGATGGGGCGGGCGCAGGAGGCACACTTTGGTGCAAAGACCCTGGAGGGAAGAAGGGAGTGGCTGTGACCGGGGGAGTGGGGATGGGACACGACACCCAGACCCCAGCACAATGGAGACCCTCAGGCCTCCCTCCGCTTGAGCTGGTGGGAGCAGCCCCTGTCCAGCCTCCCTGCAGGCACCCCGTCTCCCCCCATCTGCAGGGGCAGCCTCTGCCCAGCTCCCTGTGGGTGCCCCGTTCCCCCAGCAGGACGGTGCCAAGTCTGTGCTCTCGGGCTTCTGGTGACTTCACTGCGAGGTTCCCCCCAGCCCCGAGCTGAAGTCCCTAAATGCCTGACTACATGCCCAGTGCGAGGAACCAAGCCCAGCAGCACAGAACCAGCATCCCGGGCCAGGCTGGACCCACAGTGAGGCAGCATGGAGTCCCAGGCAGAACCCCCAGCCCGGAGCCCCCCACCACAGGAGGACGTGCATGCAGGTACAGGCAGGAGAGGGAGGAAGGTTGAGTACAAAGGAGGCTTCAAGGTGGTGTGTAACCCTGTGGGGGATGGGGGTGGGGGTGGGGGGAGTTACAGGGACAGGAGAGAAGCAGAAACAGCTTGGGGGGGGGGGTGTAAGACATAGCACAGAGAGGAAGGCGTCTGCTGTGCACCTCCCCACCCTGTTCCATCCCGATCACCACCTAGTGTGACTCCGAAATCCCCCACCCTGGGAGAAAAAAAAAAAAAAAAAAAAGGACCACAAGAGTTTCCAGGGGAGGCAGAGAAGGGGCAGCGCCCACTCACGTGTGGTAGTCTCGGACGCAGTAGATGTTGTTCTCCACGTCCACCGTGAAGGGCACCCCGTCCAGGCACTCGTTACACACCGAGCACCGGAAGCAGCCCGGGTGGTAGGACTTGCCAAGCGCCTGCAGGATCTGGGGGTGGGAGCGCTGAGGGGTCAGTGTGGGTGGAAGGTTTGGCACAGCCCCGGCAGGGCTGCAACAGGTACAGGGCCCCGGGAGCCAGGAGGGGGGTGGTGCAGCATGGGGCGGGGAAGGGGGTGTCTCACCATCTCCATGATGAGGTGACCACACACACTGCACTTGTCGGCCGTTTGCTGGAACCCAGAGTACTGCGGGGAACAAGGGGGTCAGGGCGTCACATCACAGCGGGCAGGAGTGGGGGTGGGCAAAGGCGGCCCAGGGCCCACGCGGCCGCAGCCCTGACTCACCAGGAAGTCCTCCCGGCAGTACACCTTCTCGCCCACATTGTAGAAGGCCTTCCCGCGAAGCCGTCTCCCTGCAACAGGAAGGGGACGGTCCCTGGGCTGCTGGGAACTGCTTCCACTTCTCAGCACCTTGTTTTTGTTTGCTTAGGGGAGCTGTTCAGGGGCCTCCCCCGGCCCAGCACTGCTGGGGACAGAGCCTGAGCCGCCTCCTGCCCTAATAATGTTTTGTTTTTTTCCCTTTAATTTTGCTAGGAACTGAACCTCGAGCCTCAACACAGGGCTTCTGGACCTCACCTGACTGCTCAGAGCTTCCTCCCAGCGCTGTGCTCAAGGATCGTTCCTGGCAATGCGCAAGGGGCTGTACATGGTGCCAGGGACTGAACTGAGGTTGGCAGTAAGCAAGGCAAATGTCTTCCTCACTAAACATTCTGTCTACAGCCGAGATATATTATTTGGCTTACTCCACGCTCAGGGATCACCCCAGGTGGGCTCACTGGCTGGGAATTGACCCAGATCAGCCCTGTGCAAGGCAAGCACCCTACCCACTGTACTCTCTCTCCGGCGCCCCAGACACTTATTTTGATTGAGCTGGAGAGACGGCTCAAAGGGCAGGGCGCATAGTCTGCACAGAGGAGCTCTGGACACAACCCACAGAACATGGTTCTTCTGGCACCACCAGAAGGGACTCCAAGCACAGAGCCAGGAGTGGCTCCCAAGCAACACTTTTTTTTTTTTTTTTTGCTTTGTGGGTTACACTCAGCGATGCACAGGAGTCACTCCTGGCTCTGCACTCAAGAATTATCCCTGGTGGTACTCAGGGGACCATATGGGATACTGGGAATCAAACCTGGGTCGGCCGCGTGCAAGGCAAACGCCCTACCCACTGTGCTATCACTCCAGTCCCCCAAGCAACACTTTTTGCATGGCCCAAAGAACAGAGAAAATTTAACTGAAGGCCCATGGATGGCTCCGTAGCAGAACACCTGCCCTACAGACGTGAAACTGAGTTTGATTTAGTTCTTGGCCCAAAAGACCTTAGTTTTTGTTTTTTTTTTTTTTGGGGGGGGCCACATCCAATGGTGCTCAGGGCTTACTCCTGGCTCTGCACTCAGGGATCACTACTGGTGGTACTCGAGGGACAGACAGGGTTCCAAGGATTAAAACCGGGTCAGCCACTTGCAAGGCAAGTATTCTTTCTCCAACCTCCAGAAGACATTTTTAATCAACCTAAACAATAAGCATAGTTTTTAATTAACAAATTTGGGGGGCAAGAGCAATGATATAGCAGGTAGAGTGCTTGCCTTGCACGTGGCTGACCCAGGCCTATCCCCAGAACCCCATAAGGTCTCCTGAGCCTGCCAGGGGTGATCTTTGCGCATACAGCCAGGAGAAAGCCCTGAGCACTGCCAGGTATGTTATGGCCAAAAAAAAAAACAAAATAATAATAATAATAATAATGTAATAATTTTTTGAATTTCAAATACTTCCCCAAAAGGAAGTCCTTAAGGGATCGGGAGGCAGCTGGAAGGGCTCTGCATGCCAGGGGCCTGCATTTGACCCACAGCACCCATAAACCCTCAGCACCCATTCGGCTGTGGCACCACAATGAAACTTTTTATTTTTGGCTTCTTTGGGTCACACCCATCAATGCTTGGGGGTTACTCCTGACTCTGCACTCAGGAATTACTCTTGGCGGTGCTCAGTGAAGCATATGGGATGTCGAGAATCGAAACTAGGTTGGCCACGTGTAAGGCAAACACCCTCCCCACTGTACTATTGCTCTGGCTCCAACAAAACATTTTGAAGACATTCTTTCTTTTTTTTTTTTTTTTGCTTTTTGGGTCACACTCAGCGATGTTCAGGGGTTACTCCTGGCTCTGCGCTCAGGAATTACTCCTGGAGTTGCCTGGGGGACCATATGGGATACCAGGGATCAAACCCAGGTCGGCCACTGCAAAGCAAACGTGCCCTACCCGCTGTGCTAACGCTCTGACCCCAAAGACATTCTTTTTTAAAAAAATGTTTGGTTTTCAGCCCACCTGGCTCTACTCCCAGGCAGTGCTCAGGGGTTGTTCCCAGAAGTGCCTGAAGGACCTCTGCTAGGGTCCGCCCTGAGCCTCCTACGTGTACTCCAGTGCTCTGAGCTATCTCCCAAGCCCCAATGTTTTTCAGTTTTTAAAAATCACATTAGAGAGGCTGGAGAGATAGTTCAGTGGGTAGAACACTGGCCTTGCCTGAAGCTGGCCTGGGTTCAATGGCTGGCACCACACAGGGGCCCCCAATAGCTGCCAGGAGTGATCCTGGAATCCTAGGCACCATCAGATGTGGCCTCCACCAAAAAAAACACCAAAAACATAGGAGTTACACTAGAAGAAAATATTCAGAGCTTATGTGCAGAATAATGAATATATATTCTTAAATTCCTAAATCATAAAAATAAAGCAGTCTCAAAATTTAAAACTGTGTGAAAGATTTCAAACAGAATTCACAAAAGATGAATTCACAAAAGATGATCCACAGCCAACAAGCAGATAAAAAGACACCCAACCCTGAGTCATCAGAGAAACACAAATTAAAACGACAGTGAAAGACCGCTTCACATCCATGTGAACGGAGAAAATGAAAACCACCAAAATACGCACTGCTGGCAGAAAGAATAACCTTTCTTATTTTCTGGTGGGAATTTAAAAATGACTCAATCCCTCTGGAAACGAAAAGCAATTTGGCGACCTCTTAAGATTACACATCCACGTTAGCCCATGACCCAGAAATTCCACTCCTTGGAATCTACCCAAGAGAAACGAACACCTCTGCCCACAAACAACCTGTCAAGAATATTCACAGAGCACTGGGACGGCTCTCAACAGTGAAACGGGTAAATAGACTGTGACAGAGTAACCCAGCGGAACCCTACTCTGCAGTAAAACTGAGCTGCTGACACACGCAACAGAGCGGTAAACAAGAAATGCTCAGCAAAAAAAAAAAAAGAAAAAGCCAAAAAAAAGTATAGACCGCAGGACTGCATTTATTCTGCAGTTCTAAAACAGATAAAACTAAATGACTGGGCCGAAGCGGTAAGACAGTGGGTAGGACCATTCCCGGGTATGCAGCTGACCCAGGTTTGATCTCTGGCATCCCATATGGTCCCCCAAGCTCCAGGAGAAGTGATCCCCAAGCACAGGGCCAGGAGTAAGTCCTGGGCACCGCTGGGAGTGTTCCAAAATCAAACCAAGAAATTCAAAAACAAAAACAAACTGAGAAATCAGCCAGAGGGAGAGGAGTAGACTCAGAATAACCCCTCTCAGGTGAGGGGCAGAAAGCAGCCTCAGAGGGGAGCATCAAATGCCCAACGGCAACAGGAATGAAGAGCAGGAGAACTAGTCTTACTGGTCTTCAGTGGGAAGCATGGCACTGGGGCAGGGTTGGTAGGGGGGTTAAGTTAGGGAAGGGACCACTGGGACAATGGGGCAGGGGAAAGTGCCTATCACAGAGGCAGGCTGTGGGGTTAGAGGGAGACTGGGGACACCGGCCAAGGGCAGTGGGCACTGGGGAAGGGACTGGTGTTGGGACAATATGCTTGAGATTCAATCATAAATACCTTTGTAACTTTGTAATTCACAGTGATTCAGTTAACACTCTCTCTCTCTCTCTCTCTCTCTCTCTCTCTCTCTCTCTCTCCTAACGAAGGTAGAAATCACAAGTCTGGTTGTGCAGGGGCAGGTGTGGCTCGGCCATAGGACATGAGCTTCAGGCCTGGGTGTAGTCCCTGACACAGAAACAAACTAGGAGCCATAATGGTAGAGCAGGTGCTACGGAGAAACACAAGGACCATCTAAAAGAGGACAAGACGTAGCCCGAGCGCACGTGAGGGTCCGGGCACGTGCTCTGCTTGCAGGGGTCCCTGAGCCTGAATGAACGGCACCTTGAGCACAGAGCCAGAGTGACCTGAACCCCCAAGGAGGATCCCCGCTCCCAGCACTGCCAGGTGTGACCCCAACACAACCAAAGGACCAGAGAAGGCCCTGTGCTGTGGCTCAGAAGTGGGAGACCTGGGCTCCGGGCCCAGCACCCCCACAGACCGAGTGCCCGGGTGTCTACACCGAGTGTGTGAGCACCACAACTGAGCAGTGTGCATGCATGGAGTCCAGTGTGCAAGCAGCACGCCCAGGTGTGTGAGCATGACAAACACACCCTTCCTGCGTGTCTGCACCCTGACCAGGTGTGTGGCACAGCAACAACAGCAAAGGGAAGGAGGACTGACAACTTTAAAATGCTCGGTTTGGGGGCTGGAGTACAACAGGGAGGGCTTTTGCCATATACACAGCCACGCCGGGTTCAATCCCCAGCATCCCACCTGGTCCCCTGAGCACTGCCAGGAGTAATTCCTGCATGCAGAGCCAGGAGTAACCCAGGAGCATCACTGGGTGTGCCCCCCCCCATAAAAACTGGTTATTAAAACAAAATATGAGACTAATCTCCAAGGATAGTAGAAATGAGGTCCAGGAGGACCAGTCCATAGTTGGAAGCCTGACTCAAGTGCTGAGGGTGGGGAAGGCAGTTGGAATAGAGAAGGGACCGCTATGACAATGATAGTTGGAAATGATCACTCTGCGTTAAAAACTGTGCGCTGAAAGTAGGTAAAGGAACAAACATGATAACCTCTCAGTGCCTGTTCTACAAATCACAAAGAAGAGAAAGATGAAAAGTTTCTGCCACAGAGGAAGGCTGGGCAGGGTGTACATTTATTTAAAAAAAAAATTGTTTGGGGTCAGGCCAGTGTGTCAGCATGGGTGGTAACGGACTTGCAGTTGACCCAGTTTGATCCATGGCACCAGGACCCATGGCACCGTATTATCCCCCATCAGTACCTAGAGTAGCCCCTGAGCACCATGGGTGTGGCCCCAAGACAAAAACAAAGCCCCAAAATGCAGAGACAGTGTACAGGGGTTAGGGAGTCTGCCTTGCACACGACCAACCCCACTTGGATCCCCGCACTGCCAGGAGTGACCCCTGAGCAGTGTCAGGAGGAAGCCCTAAGCACCACAGGGTGTGAGCCCCAATCCCCACCACCACCACCAAGAAAAAGAGGCTGGGATGTGGCTCAGTGGCAGCAGCTTAATTTCCCAGCAACCAAAGACAAAAATCAAATGAAAATAGAAACAAAACCTGGGGGCTGGAGTGACAGCACAGCGGGTAGGGCGCTTGCCTTGCACACGGCCGACCCGGGTTCGATTCCCAGCATCCCATATGGTCCCCCAAGCACTGCCAGGAGTAATTCCTGAGTGCAGAGCCAGGAGTAACTCCTGAGCATCGCTGGGTGTGGCCCAAAAAGCAAAAAATAAATAAATAAAATAAAATAAAAACAAGGAACCTCTTATGCCAGAGTCCAGATGTCCTCAGACTGATGGGGGACACCCAGCGGAAGGGCAAGGGGCCAATGCAATGGAACAAGTGGGAGACAACTTGTGCACTCAAAGGAATTCCGGTGGGGATCAGGAAGAGAGTTGGAGGCCCCAGTGCAAATCTGGCCCTGAGATCAGTCTCTGGCCCCACGTGCCCGCCCTGAGCATCGCTGGTGTCGCCCTGGTGGGCCCTGAGCACGGCTGAAGTGAGCTCATCAAGACCCAGATGCACCCTGCACCTCGCTGACGGGGTGAGCATCGCACAGTCCAGCCCAGCTGGCAGAGTGTCACAAGGAACGGACCCAGGCTGGATCCCAGCCATGGAGCACTGTTCGACAGTGCAGAGGTTAAGTCCCTTTCCTGGCCTGAGGCCGAGCCTAGTTCAAAACCTGAGCACAGCCTATGGTTCCCCAAGCACCAGCAGGAGTCACTTCTGAGCAAGGGCCCAGGAATATCCCTTGAGTGCCACTGAGTGTGGCCCAACTGTCCTTGACCCCCCATCCCAAAACTGACTGCATACACTGCAGGAATAAATCCTTCCATGTGGAGACACTTGGAGCACATGCCCGGGGAAGGGTCTGGAAGGGCTGGTGCGATGGAGCAGGTGTTCTCTCTGCCCACTCTAAATGAACCCCTGGTGGCCACAAACTTCTAGAAGAAAAACTCAGCTACATGAGACTAGGGACTGAAGACGCCAGGCCACATGGCAACGGGGATGTGCTGTCCCTTCCTGTCTCCCCACCCCTTTGGGGTCCTGGCTGTCAGGCCCGCGAACTGCCTCCGGGTGCCATTTCAGTGGGTCAACAACCTTGATCCAGGCAACTCACAAATGATTCTCGGGATGGATTAGCTTGCTACAGAGATGTCTCCGGACCCCAATCATTTACAATTTAGAATTCCAGGAGTGCACGGCTGCTTTCACAGCCGCGTGACCTCTCATGATATTTATAATAAGAAATGGAAAATAAATTATCTAGCATCTGTCTGTGGCAGACATGCAGGCTTGAGTGGTGGTGGGAAAATTCGAAATAATGGTGGTGGGAAGGTTTAATGGTTAGTGGGATTAGTGTTGAAATATTGAATGTAATCAATTAATATGAACAACCTTATGAAAATAAAATTGAAAAATAAAAAAAAAAATGAAAGGGCTGCAGCACACACCTGGCATGGGGAGGTTCAGGAATCACCCCAGGACTGTGTGCTCCCCCAGAACACGGCTGAGAGTGACCACACTAGGCCAGCAGTACCCCAGCCATCACACAGGGAGGGCAACTCACTTCAAACCAAAAGTACCATATTCCACTTTGAAACTTGTCTTAGCGTAAAGGTTTTAGAGCGTGCCCGGAGAAGACCGCCTTCAACACAGACCTCAACAAATCTCCGAGGAATTCGGCTGCCACTGTCAAAACTCAACATGTGCCCTAGTCAAGCGTTGGGAAAAACATAAGTAAAAGAAGTGGGACTTGCAGAGATGACAAGAGTCAGCATTACAACCATGAGACACAAAGTTAAGTATGCTTCATATGCTTATAAAATAAAACCAGATGTCTAAAACAGAAGCTTGCAAAGATTTTTTGGATAGGACATTAAAAAGCAGTAACTACAAACAAACAAACAAAAAAGATCAAACTGATCGTAATTAAGAATTTCATCAGGCTAGGCACTCACTCCAGACTCCAGTGAGCGAGGAGGAATTCTGCCATGTCCCTGCAACCCCAGAACTACTAAATTTCTTCTGGAAGTGAAATCGAATTTTGATGTGTGTGTGGGGGGGAGGGGGAAGAATTACACCCTCACACCCAGTAATGTTCAGGAGTCACTCCTGGCTCTGCACTCAGGAATCACCCCTGGTGGTGCTTGGGGGGACTGTAATGGATGCCGGGGATCAAAAGCAGGTTGTCCGAGTGCAAGGAAACGCACTGCCCACTGTGTATCGCTCTAGCCTCTGAAGTAGAACTTCTTAAGAACATAATGGATGTAGGAGAGAAACCCTACAGTGGCTATGAAGGCCCCGAAGCTCTGTTTGCCAAATCAATACCCTCTGCCGGCCACGAGTTCATTGTAAAAGGAGAACACGCTTGGACCTCAGGAACAACAGAGGTCAGCCTGCTGGAAAGCAGGGAGGTCAGCGCCAGAGGCCCTCGCTTCACACGCACCACGAGGAGCACGGGGGGTTGGCGGGGGGCATTCCCCTACACACAAAGCTTGTCACTCTGACAGTCTGACAGCTCGGCCAACTGAGCTTCCTGAGTCCCCAACTGCATCTGAAACTGCACTGGAAACTGCTGATGACCTAGATTATTAAATAAAATAAATTACAATACATTGTTGCCTTTCTTCAGTTAAAAAAATAAAAAGACTTTTCTGAAAAGTCCATTTAGAGAGTAACAAGGGGCCCAGTGGACAGTTCCGTGGATAAAAGTGCCTGCCGATGGTTCTGTGGATAAAAGCCCCTGCCGTACACTAAGAGGCGATGAGCAGGATCCCCTCTGAGTCGAGTGGGGCCCTGGCAGCTCTGCTATGTGGCACCCCCTCAGCACCCCAATAGTGTGGGAGATCTCTGGCACCCAGCCAGGTATGGGCACTCACCATCAGTTAAGCCTGTGGCCTTGGTGAGCCTCCCCCCACCAGCATGTGCATCAGCAGCACAACTATGGGAGTGTGACCCCAATAAGCACGTGCCCAGGCCTGGGAGGGCCACAGCCACAGGTGTGCACCTCCTGACTATCACAACAGAGGGAAGGAAGCGGGGCTGGAGTGACAGCACGGCAGGGAGGGGGCTCCACCCCTGGTATATGGTTCCATCACAGAGCCAAGAGTAATCCCCGAGCACTATCTGGTGTGGCCAAGGGGGGGAGGGGCTGGGGGAGGGGAGGGGCGAGTGAGGGGAACAGGGAACAAGCAGTCTGTGAACTTATTTCTCATTTATCACAGCAAAAAATAAACAGGCCATGTCTAAAACTGACACATAAGAAACAGGACGGGAGGATGGAGCGATAGTACAGTGAGGACTTGAATGGAATGCAACCACATATAGTACCCGGGCACCGCCAGCAGTAGTTCCCTGAGCACAGAGCTAAGGAGGAAGCCCCAAGCACAGCTGGGTGCCCCCACCCCACCTAAATAACAAAACAAAGAACCAGTAGGCAGTGGGCTGGAGAGGACAGGGTTAAGGCGCTGCGCATGACCCACCAGGTCCCCTCCTCAGCATGGCTGAGTCCTGGTGCTCCATGAGGTGCCAAGGAGGGGGGACTGGCTGCCTTGGGGAAACAGGGGCCTGAGTAGGGGGCTGGCTGTCCTCTCTCATGCCCTCTTGCTGCTGGCCGCTGCAACGACCAGGACACACACATCCCCACTCAGCTGCAGGATGCTTGCCTTCTGGGTGCAATGCTCACACACACACACACACACACACACACACACACATACACAATCCTAGTGCACGAAGAGAGCACACTCTTGGGGCTGTGCCAAGGCCGTGGAAAGGCCGGGCTGCCTGGCAGCTCTGGAGTGCAGGGTAGTGCTGAGTACCCAGCCTCATGCCTACAGGCAGGAACCCGACCACCAGGCCATCCCCAGCCCCTGGCCCGTTTTTGCTACTGCCGAAACAGTTTCTCGGGACTAGCTGACTTCACACATGCTGCCTTACACGCAGGTGGAATAACTATCAGAATGTTTTGTGTAAACACACAGAAGATGCCCATGTCGGGGCAGCACCCCGACGCAGAGTGGGAGAATGCAGCGGGCAGCTGGATTATGTTGGCTGGAGTATGGTTATATTTCTCTCTCTGCAACCTTTCCCAGGTTAAATAATAGCATTTACAGTTTATGCAGATCTTAACTCCGGGGCGAGGGGTGGGGTGGGGGGAACGCCATGGTCCATGCCTGCAAGTGCTCAAGGATCAAACCCAGGTCCCCTAAATGCAAAGCACATTTCCCAGCCCTCTGAAACAGCTCTACATGATGTTTCACGTGGGGTGCTATAGTTTATAGCTGAGACAGAGATTTGACTGCAGGGAAAAGAGGCACTGACCCCAAATCCAGGTAGGCAGAGGGTCCCTCCCTGACTGTTCTCCCCCTGGGCAGTGGGGAGACCCAGAGGCCCAGTCAAGGTTGGAAGCCCAAAGCCCATGGTGAGAGCGTCAACTAAGGGTCCTTCCTGACGCCCTTCCTCCCCGTGGCCCCCGCAGATGTGCTGAGGCCCAGTCCTCTCCATCAAACAGGCCGGGGGGTAGGGGTTAAGGGGTCACACAGTGCCAGCATCCTTCCCCACCCTCCAGTTGAATCGGCACACAGGGCCATGGGGAAGAGATCACCTACCGCAGGAGTCACAGGTGAAGCAGTCGGTGTGATACAGGCCCCCCATCGCCTGGCAGGCCTGACGTGCTCCGTAGATGCCAAGCCCACACTTGATGCAGATGCCTGCGGGGGGAGAGGCAGGGAAGAGTAGGGTGAGCAGTGGATGCAGAGCTGGGGGTCCAGTTCCCACTCCCAGGGGTACTGCTGTCGCCAGCCTGCCCTCAGGCCTCTGTGCCTGGGTCTCTAACTGAACCGGGGGCAACTGGGGAGCCCATCACTCAGCATTCATTATCACCATACTAGTTTTGGGCCCACAGCTGGTGATGCTCAGGGCTTACTCCTGGCTCTGCACTCAGAGATCACTCCTGGAATCTGGGGGACCATCTGGGGTGCGGGAACTTGAACCCATGTTGGTCATGTTGGAAAGCACCCTGCCCGCTGTGCTATCACTCCAGCCCTCAGAACTCAGAGTTTAGCCGGGCAGTGCCAACACACACGGACACTGTCCTCGCCCTCACCGTGATTCTGACATGCTTGTTTAGGAAGTCCCCTGAAAATCTGCCATCAGACTGAAGCTAAGAACCCAAAAGATCCAAAAGATTAGCCGCCAGCCCCAGGCACGCCAGGGCAGTCACCCGCCAGCCACACACCAAGTCTACACCGAAGGTAAGTCTTCTTACTGAGCGCAGTCAACGCAGGGGCACAGCTTGCTCTTGCTCTCTCACTCTCTCTCTCGCTCTCTCGCTCGCTCTCTCTCTCACACACACACAAACACATACACACACATTCACACACACTCACACACTCTCTCTCTTTCACACACACACAAGCCCCACCCTCTTCAGGGGGCTACCTCCCTGCAGGAAGAGACCCCAGCAGAGAATCCGTATTTCAGGTGAAACAGGGAAAGGAAGAATGTGTGAGGGTCACAGGATGGTTCCAAGGCTGACCACAGGCTTCAATGTGGGAGCCAAAATTTGATCCCTGACCCCACCACATAAGGTCCCCCAGTCATGCCAGGCCAGGTGTGATCCCTGAGCACTGAGCAGAAGCAACAGCCACCAAGTAAAGCCCAGATACAAAAACAAACGACAAACAGCCCATGCAGGAGGCCAGGCACCTGGCTCAGCCCTGAGCGTGTGTGAAGTCCTGGGTTTGATCCCCCACACTGCAAAGACCTGCTGGATGGCACAGTTTATAAAGAGGGTATCAGGCGGGACGGAATGAAGATTCAAAGGAAGAGAAGGAAGGGGGGGTCTGGGATTACTGGATGGAATCGGAGGCCGCCGCTCAGCAAGCAGAGCAGGCCGGGAGGATAACCAGCTGAGTAAAGCCCAGCTCCTGCTGAAGGGCCTCCCTGCACAGACCTAGACAGGGCCCTCGCAGTCATTGAGGCTTGCCGTGCCCCAGAGAGAAGGGGAACGGGCACCAGGGACTGGCTTCTGTTTCTGTCTGGGAGATACACCTGGCAGTTCTGTGCTTGGGCTTTGCTGCCAGAGGTGTTCAGTGCTCTGGGAACCACACAAAGAACCACAAATCCAACAGGGCGTCCCACAAAGCATGTGCTCAGTCCTCAAGTCACTCTGCCAGTCCTCTAGCTCAGAGCTTTTGTTGTTGTGTTGGGGGCTTGGGTTTTTTTTTTGGGGGGGGGGGGGCTTTCCATATCCTGCAGTGCTCAGAATTACTCCTGCCTCTGCACTCAGGAGTTACTCCTGACAGGTTCGGGAGACTATATGGGATGCCAGGGATCAAACCGGGGTCAATTGTTTGCAAGGCAAATGCCCTGCTTGCAGTACCAATCTCTCCACCTACATCAGAGTTTTTTTTCATTGCCAAGTTTCTGTGATTTCCAATGCTGTTGGTTTCCCATGCACGTAATTCCACACCACTATGCCAGAGGGTCTTCAAGCTTTTCCCCTTTTCACCCAGGAGGAGCAACACAGGCGAGCACCGCAAGCCCCATGTAGTGGATTCTGAAATTGTCTTTAGTCGCTGCACATTCAGAAACCTTCCCTGTTGCCGGGCCGCCAGTGACCCTTCACAGAAGCTGGGCTCTGGGCATGGTGCCCTCCCTGCTCCTCCACTGCCTGCCACATTCCTTTGTACTGCTCAACCAGGCTAATCATCTGCCACCTGAAGACACCCTCCCCCAGATGCCACCCTATGTCCCCTCCCCACAGCCAACCAGGGCCCCACCCGGCCCTTCCTGACAGCCGAGCCTTCCTCTCCTGTCTCGCCGTGGGGAGGATAGCCCGGCTGCCTGCAGCCTCCAGGTCACCGCCTGCACCTGGCTCCCTGGCTGTCTCCCAGGGCCGTTCAAGGCCTTACACGTGAAGGTGGTCGGAGGGGTCCCCGGAGGCTACTGGAGGGGGCTGCACCTCTGGGCTCCACTGACAGCAGTTGGCGGGGGGGGGGGAGCCGGCCCAGCACGGCTAACGCGTCTTTTTTAAGAAAAGCTAGAAGCCTCGACCCGTGGGTGCAGCCTTCCTGTGCTCAAAGGACTGACTTCAGTGTCTGGAAATGCAGGCGCCGACCCGCCTTGGCTGAGGGGCCCACCTGTGGCTGTCCTGTGGACCATCGCTCTCAGCTGCTTAGCCCTGCTCCGGGCGGGCACCCTGCCCAGGCCCAGCTCCTGACTCACCCCTCCTCCAGGCTCCCCACGGAACTCCCCAGACCATCAGGTGCCTACTCAGGACACTGCACTTGGGGAGAAGGCCAGGCCCCGGGACGCCCCTTGACCCAAACTCCAATTCTGAATCGTGGCTGGATCGAGGCTCCCTAACTTTGACCTCCCTCACTCCCAATAATGTAACTGCAAACTGTAGCCAGGCAGCTCTGCAGTGAAGAGCTAAAAAGCGCCCCTTTAAACTTGCCCATCCACTTAGTCACTCCCCTGGAGACTCAGACAGTGGTGAGGATGCTTGGGACAGATAGTGGAGACTCCAGCTAGCAGGACTCAGGACGGGAGAAGGGCAAGAGCAAACGTCTGTCTCTGGCCTGCTTCTATTTTCTGTTTCCCCCCCCCCCCCCATGTGTGTGTGAAACAACATACGGAGAAGGAGCAGAAACACCCTCAGAAATACAGGGACTCCAGAGCCCCAGAGAGAGCACAGCGGGTAAGCCTTGCACCCCCTCGACCCAGGCTCAATCCCCAATACCCCATATGGTCCCAAGTCTTACCGGGAATGATCCCTGAGAGCAGAGGCAGGAGTAACGCCTGAGCATGGCCAGGTGTGGCCCTCCCACAAAAAAGGGAAAAAAATAACAGGGACTGTCTGAGGAATGCGGCTGCACTAACCCACACAGACAGGCCTGGCAGACGCGGGATGGGGTGGGGTTGGGGGCCGGGGGTGCTATGCCCAGCCTCGGCCAGCACACCCACCACACCCACCGGCCACTGCTAGACAAGAGCTGGAAAGACTGACCAGACTGTGGCCTTGGAGTTTTAGGGCTTTTTGTTTTTATTTCTTAATAAAAGCGACACCCATGGGCACTGGCGGGGGGGGAACCCCAGCCAGGGAGCCACCTATGGGGCGCACACACGACAGACATGAGCTCTAATAATTAAGCCCCTCCCCAGTTTCAGGTTTTTGTTTTGGAAGTCACCAGGCAGAGCTCAGGGGACCAGGGGACTACACCCAGGCATCCGGCGTGCCCAGCATGTGCTCAGTCCATCAGCTCTCCCTCAGGCTCCTTTAGTCCTTTTACTGAGATGCCAGAAACCAAATCCAGGACCTCATGCCTACAAGCATGCCACAGCCGAGCTCCAGCTCTGACAGGGTTATTGGTTTACATATTGTTTGGGGGTTAAACCCCACTATGCTCAGAGGCTCTCTGGCTCAGTGCTGTGAGAACCACATGGTGCCAGGGATCAAACCCACAGAACTATCTCTCCGGCCTGAGTTTTTTATTTTATATAAAGCCCTGGTATATATTTCCTTTTTTTTTAACTTTTTATTTTCATTTATTTTTTTAATTTCTGTCACTGTCACTGTCCTCCCATTGTTCATCAATTTTCTCAAGCGGGCACCAGTAACATCTCCATTGTGAGACACTGTTACTGTGTTTTGCATATCGAATACGTCATGGGTAGCTTGCCAGGCTTTGCCGTGCAGACGGAATACTCTCGGTAGCTTGATGGGCTCTCCGAGAGGGGCGGAGGAATCGAACCCAGATCAGCTGCGTGCAAGGCAAACGCCCTACCCGCTATGCTATCACTCCAGCCCATATATTTCTAAGGAAGGAAAAAGGGTCAGCAGGAAAAAGAAAAGATGAGACAGAAGAGGCTGAGGTTGGGGATGGAAAGACCCTTATTCTTAGACGGGGCGTGGACTGGCAAGCCTTCAGGTTAGTACAGGAAGGGAAAATGAGGCCAGACGGACAGTACAGCGAGAGAGCACTTGCCCTGCAGGCGGCCAGCCCAAGCTCCAACCCGGACACCACATATGGTCCCCCAAGCCCACCAAGATTGATCCCTGAGGACAAAATCCAGGAGTAAGCCCTGAACAGCACTTGGTCACTCCCTGGAGACAAAGACAGTGGGGGAGGGGGGGGAGAAGAAATCCAGGAAGGAGTAAGAAAAAAAAATCCAGGAAGCACTGAGAACAGACTGCTGACTTCCACATTATTTTTTTCTTCAGCCAGCAGTGCCAGAGACCATGTGGGGTGAGGGAGCAAATCTGGGGCTCTTACATACAAAGCATGCTTTCCAACCCTTTGAGCCATCAACCTGGCCTCGGTTCTCAATGTTCTTGGCAAAGTAGACAGTAAGGCAGGAGCTGAGGAAAGAGGGAGCTTGCTGGGGGAATGAAAGAGGAATGGACAGCGGTGCGAGGGGCAGGTGGTGGGAGAGACCAAACAGGAGCTAGAGCGATGACGTAGCAGGCAGGGCACTTGCCTTGCACGAGACTGACCCAGGTTCTGTCCCTGTTACCATATATGGTCACCTGAGCCCCACCAGGAGTGATCCTCCAGCACAGCTAGGTGTGGCCCCAAAGCCAAAACCAAACAAAAAAGTCAGCCCTACCACTCGTTCATATCACAGGAGTAGGTGGGGCAGGCCAGCGGCAGGCAGCAGTGAGGAATCTGGCCCAGAGGAGGCATGAGGAACAGTCAGAGGCTGGGGGTGTAGCTCAGGGGTCCAGCATGGATTTTGCATGTACCAAGTCCCGAGACTGGGAGCTGGTGCCTTGTTTGGGCAAGGCCCTGGATTTAATACCCAGTCCTGCATAGCCCTCTGAGAAACACTGGGCATGGCTCCCAAGACTGTAAGTATAGACCCCATAACAATAGCCAAAACAAAAGTCCCTGGCTTTTATTCTTAGTACCATAAAAAAAAATGGAGCATGTCATTTTATAGAGCTCCGAAAGGTCAGCTGAAGCAAACAGTTGTCCTTATTTTTAAAAACCTGGGTAATGAGGGCCCAGAGCGATAGTACAGTGGGTAGGGTGCTTGCCTTGCACGCAGCCAACCAGGGTTCAATCCCCAACATCCTGTATGTTTCCCTGAGCACTGCCAGGTGTTGCCCAAAAAGCAAATAAATAAGTACATAAATAATAAAAAGCAGAAAGAAAACATAAAAAAAAAAAAACCTGGGTCAATGTAACCTAAATCTGAGTTCTCTTAAAAACAACCAACCAGTCAGTACGGGGATTAAGACCTTGCTGGTGACCAGCCCTGTTTGAATCCCCAGGATCATGTATGGTCCCCAAAACCACCAGGGGTCACCCCTGAGCACAGAGCCAGGAATAGTCCATAAGCATTGCCGGGTGTGGTCCAAAAAGGGGGGAGGGGCACTGAACTCATTCCAGGCTCCCTTCCCTCTCCGACCTCCCTTCCTGGGAACAGCCATGGGCATGCCACCCACACATCCACACCCCCCCACCCCAGTCTCTTCCCTTGGACCTTCAAGTGGGCGCGCGCGCACACACACACACACACACACAGAGCAGAAACCAGCAATGGGCACACACTCACATACCCATCTTTTCCCTTAACCTTTCAAGTAGACATGCATACGTGCACACACACACACACACACACACCCTGTGAGGGACCAGCAATAGACACACACACATGTACACACACTGACATATACCCTGTCAGGGACCAGCTGTGAGCACACAAATGTACACACACACATACACATGCCCCATCAGGGACCAACTGTGAACACACACACACACACACACACACACACACACACACACACGCGCGCTGTCTTTTCCCTTAAGTCCTTCTCTCCTCCCCTCACCAGTCTGGATCTTCCTGACTTCATCTTGCCACACACTCCCCCAGCTCTCCTTCCCCGGACCAGGGCCAAGGCCTGTAGTGTGTGGGGTGGGGGAAGTGCAGTGTCTCCTCAGAGGACCGAGAAGACAGCCCGGGCATGCCAGGCATGCACTCAGCCCAGGTTCCACGCCCTGCACTACACTACACGGTCCCCTGAGCATCACCAGGTATAACCCCCGGAGTGTCCCAAGCATCACCAGAATGTCCTGGAGAATCTCCTTGCACGTCCTCCATCCTGTGGCTCTGGGCTTCCTGAGCATCACTCCGGAAGCCCCCCGACCCTCCTCAAAGGAGGAGGCAACCCTGGCTCCCCCACCAGGCCCAGCACAGAAAAGGCCAGTTTCCCAGCAGTGCTTCCAAAACAGACAACAGCAGCCACAACCAAGACAAGCACAAAGTTCCCCTATGGCACAGAAGAGCTGGGGGCGGAAGGAGGGGAGGGGGCTCCCTCTCCCGAAACGGAGGCCACCTAAGGGACCACGGGGGGGGGCTTGGGGGGATTAGAGAGGAGTCTGCAACAGTTGGGGGCTAGAAAGACCTTGCACCCTGACTCCCTATTTTATCCCACATCCTCCCCACTGGAATGCCCCCATCCAGCCTCTTCCTGTCTCCAGATACAGCTCAGGCAGTCGGAGCTGCCAGCAGGAAGGAAAACCCCCCCAGGACAGTCTCCTCCCAAAGGGCTCAGCTTTCAGCTCTTCAGGGGGCAGGGAGCCCCTTACCCAGGTCGGGATTGTTCTCGGTCTTTGGGCTGAGCACCCAGGGATGACTCCTGGTGGGGCTCGGAGGACCCTAAGGGGGGGCTGGAGGCAGAACCTGGGTTGCCCTCCCAGCTGCCTCTCTCTCCTGCCCCTCCTGGTCTAAAACTTCACGCCCGAGTTTGTTCCAAGGACCAGGATGAGGGGACGAGGGTCAGCCTGGGAAATGCCGTGAGTGTGATTCCCTGGGTGCCAGCTAGCTCAGAGATGTCAGCCCAGTGGTGGAGGCCTCACGCGACAACCCCCGCACCAGGGTGGGCGTCCCCTCGGGCCACCGGAGGGTCGGCAGGGTGGCCGGGCCACTCACATCCCCCACACGACTGAGGAAGGGAAAGAAAGACGCGACAGAAGGTCCCGACCAGCTTCTCCCGACCCAGAAAGGAGGAGGAGCGGAGAGGCCAGCGCCACGGGGACGGCTCGTGGGCGCGAGGGCACGTGCCGCTCGGCATGTGGGAGCCCAGGTTCGGTGCCCGGCACCCGCAGGAGCGACCCCCGAGGCACCGAACTGGGAGTGGCCGAAACAACCCCCCCCCCCAAAAAAAAAAATAAGAAGACGACGGATAGGAAAGTGACCTATCTCTGCCCAGGATCGTGGAAGAAAGGAGCTTCGCAGCGCCGCCGCCGCCGCCTCCCCCCCAACCCCGTGCGCGGACAACCGTGGGCGGCGCCCCCCAAGCCCGGCCCGGCACGACCCGGCCCGGACGGCGCAGGCCGGCGCCCCCACGGGCTCACCGAAGTAGTCCCGCGCCGAGCGCGCCTCCAGCGCCCGCTCCAGCTCCCGGGTGAGCGCCTCGAGCCGCCGCTCCGCCGAGCTGGGGCCGGCCTCGCGGCCCGGGGGCAGCGGGAGCGACGGCAGCGCGAAGGGCATCCCCGGGCCGCCGGGCTCCGGGGAGCGCGCGGGCGCCAGCAGGTCGGCGTAGGCGCCGGCCGAGCCGCGGGAGCCCAGGCTGGACACGCTGGAGCGCGCGCTGCCCCCCGACGGCGGCCCGGGGCCCGGGCGCAGGTCCGAGCGGCCGGAGCGCGGGCTGCCGTGGCGCTGGTCGTAGCCCAGGCTGATGCCGCTGGAGCGGGCGCTGCCGTCCGAGCCCGCCAGGCTGGCCCGGGGGCTGCTGGCGGGCGGCGCGCCCAGCTCGGGGGCGGCCGCGCGCCGCGGGCCTCGCTCGCCGCGGCTCAGGCCGTCGGCGCCGCCGGCCTCGGGGCCGCCGCCCTGGCCTCTGCGGCCCAGCGTCGCGGCCGCCTCGTCGCCCGGCCCGGGCCGCGGCCCCCGCCGGCCACGGCCCGGAGAGTCACCGCCACCGCCGCCGCCGCCGCCGCCGCCGGGCTCGAGCTCCCGCAGGCCCAGCCCGGCCAGGAGCAGAGCCGCCTCGTCCGCGGCCGCCCGCGAGCGCTGCATGGCCCGGCCCGCCGGCCGGAGCGCGTCACCTCCGCCTCCGCTTCCCGCCGCCGCTCCGGCCGCGCCGCCGCATCGTCCGCCCGAGGCCCGGAGCCCGCCCCGGGACCCCTGGGCGCGGGGCGGGGCGGGGCCGGCGCCCGGCCGGGGTCGCTGCGCCGGCCACGCGCGGACGGGCCGGGGGCCGTGGCGCTGCTGGCGGCGGCGGCGGCGGCGGCGGCGGCGGCGCGCGCGGCGGAGGAATGTGCGTTCGGCCGCCCCGGGCCGCGCCCCCTGCCCGCGCGGCCGCCGGCCGGAGGGACTCCTTTGTGGGGGCAGGAATGCGAGGAAGGAGACGGCGCTGCGGCCGCTGGAATGCGGCGGGGGTGGCGGCGGCGCTGCCGCCGGCGGGTCCGCGCTGCGCCCCGAGCTCGCAGGGACTGAGCCGGCCCCGCGCTGCGCCGTCGGGAAGGCCTGGGGGCCGGCGGGCTGGGCTGGAGGCGGCTCCCCGCAATCCGGCCCCGGGAAGTGGGAGCAGCTGATAACGTTTCCCACCTCCTCCCCCAGGGGACTTCCCGGCGCCGCCGCGGTTTCGGGGCGCTGGGCCCCCCGCGACGGCGACTTTGGGCCAGGCAGCGCCCAGCAAGGCGGTGCAGGACGCTGCGGGACCTACGGGACCTCGGGGGCGGTCAGGCAGAGGCGTCCCCCTACGTCCCCCCGCACGCGCCTCGCTTGACCCCAGGAACCCCGTCCCTGAGTCGGGAGACGGCGGCGTACTGGTGCTAGGCACTCCATCTGAGCCCCAGGAGCGCGCCGACGCAGAGTTAGGGCTCAGCGGGGAACTGGTCCCCCCCATGCCAGGCTCGGCCGGAAGCAGGCCTCTAGCTGAGCCGCTGCGTGGGTGCGCCGCAACCGAGTCCCCCCACTGGCAGTCAGGAGGAGAGAACCCCCCTTTTCCAGCACCTTGCCCTACAGTGATGCGCAGAGCCGGGTCTTGGCGCCGGGTCTTGGAGCCAGGTCTTGGCTCCGAGTGTAGAGTCCGGGCACATGGGCCCCTGGGCCGCAAGCCACAAAGCTCTTGTCATACTTTCCAAAGAACTGGGGGGTCTGGATCCTGGTGCATCCAGAACATGGAGCGGATGAGTTCTCTTTCCCACTTCTCTGTTTCCAAGTCTCCAAGAAGTACCCCAACTCTCTCACCCAGGGGGAGGCGGGCAGGCATAAGTGGGGCAAGTAATTTGGGGCCCAACTATCTAAAGAAGCCTCCTTGGAAATGATCTTGCTCGGAGAAAAACCTCAGCCCACAATAAGCCCTCACATTCCACTGATCACATTACTACCACTGGAAAGCAGAAACACTGGCCAGACCAGGTGAAGAGGTTGCGCTGAAGTTTTCCAGGAAGTGCAATTTGATCAATATTAACACATCAAAGACAAACACATGCTTATAACAGCAATTCTCTTTCTAAGAACCTGTTTCTAGGGACATTCTAAGAATCTGCTCTGGGTGGGGGACGTGATCCAGAGTGCAAATTACATATGAGCAAACAATTATGCATCACATTATCATCTCAGTGTACCGAAAACTGCATAATGTGGGACAGAGAAGTACTGGATCTAACCAATGGTTCAGGAGTAGCCTCAGTAGGCCAAATAAGTTTGGGAACCTCTGATCTGATAGATTTCCATCCACTCAGTTCTTGTATTTTTAGGATGCCATGTCAAGTGGTGGTCAGGGCTGCTCCTGATTTGGTGATCAGGAGACCTCAGTGTCAGGGATGCAACCCCGGCCTCTATCATAGAAAGCATGCACTCGGCTCTTTAAAGCTCTCTCTCTCACCGGGGCTGGAGTGATAGCACAGCGGGGAGGGCGTTTGCCTTGCACGTGGCCAACTCAGGTTCGATTCCCAGCATCCCATATGGTTCCTGAGCACCGCCAGGAGGAATTCCTGAGTGCAGGGCCAGGAGTAAGCCCTGAGCATCGCTGGGTGTGACCCAAAAAGAACAACAACAAAAAAAAAGCTATCCCTCTGGCCCCATCAGCCATATTCTTAAATAACTCAGTGGGACCAGGAGATGTCACATCTGTACTGTCAGGACCCCAATTATGAACACAATAGGACACAAGACCTTTTCAAGGAGATGTGGCTGGATAACTTGGATTACAAAGGAAGGGATAGTGGGCATGCAGTCAGACTTTATCATATAAAGGAATGAATCCATTCTTCCTTCAGATCCACCCTTCTTTCAACTTAGCCTGCAGTGGTTGCTCACCTGAATGATTTTCCCTAGAAGAGTAACTGGACTCTGAGCCAGAGCACATTCCTGCCTCTCTCCCTCAGCTCCCCCATACTCCACACAGCACCACAGCCAGGCTGTGCCCTGATACACTGAGAAGCTCCTGTCCACTGAACAGAACCCAGGGCCTCCTGCATTCAAGGCACAAGGCACGCTCCACCACGGGGCCACAGCACACACTCTTTGAGGTTCAGTTTTTTGAGTCAGATCAACCGGCTTCCTCTGATCCTGGGTGTGCCTTAGCTCTCTTGGGACATTTATCTGCAGCCCTGGACAGGGGTTTCCAGTCTAAGAGTCAGAATCTGACAACAGTTGCTTTCTTCATCAGGGACCAGCTGAGACCTTTGCCTTCTTGCCTTGAAACCTCACCCTGAAATGGGATCTATGCCCAAACTTTGTACATAGCAAAAGACCAGGCAGCCAAAGGCTCAGCTCCGTGGGGAGGATCTATTTGTAGCTCCAGATTTGGTAGCCCAGATTCCTACAGCTTTTTATAATCACATTTCTGAGCATGACGGTAGCTTTCACAATTTTCACTGCAGCTTGGAAGCAGCCCCTGGGAAACTTGGGAGAGCAAAGGATGTGGGTGCTCGGACGCTCAACCTACCACCTGGGTTTACGGTGCTGCTTTGAAAAAGATGGGTTTGTGCACATGCCAGCGCTTATGTCCTACCACTTTGAGTGACCTCCCCCATGCTGCCCCTGTGCTGGCCAGGTTGGCAAAGTTTTTCAAGAAACACAGCATAGTGCCAGTCAGATATGCTATCCATGCTTGCAGAATAAGTGAGTACCAGATGCCAAATGCCCAATGCCTTGTTTCTCTAAAGTTTCAGGGATTAACCCTGGCAGGACTTGGGGAAACCACATGGGGTGCTGGGGATCGAATCCAGGTTGACTGATTACTGGGCAAGTGCCCTACCCACTATACTATCTCTCCAGTCCCTCAAATCCTTCTTCATTTTTAAGGTTGTAAAGAAAAAGTCCAAGTTCCTTAGCTATAGAGCAAATCCATTTCAAATACATGTGCCACCAGTGGATAATTGTCAGAAAGAGAGGATATATTATGAAGCAAATGCTCTCTGGGCAGTGTTAAGTGCCCATACATCTCCTGGGAAACACTTGGCTCTCAGTTCCTGAACATTCTGATAAAAAGAATTCTTCTTAAGTCACAGTCTAGCATGCTGCAGGATGGGTATAGCTAACTGCAGCAGTGTTGGACCCAGGAATAATCATAATACTTTCTCATTCCAAATTTTATTGGGCGTTTGGGATAGGCACACTCACACGGTGCTCAAGGAACCGCATGCAAAGTATGCACTCTGCCCTCTGAGCCATCTTTCTGCTCCCCAAGTTTTACTTTCAATCTCTTTATTGATTTTCTGATTATAATCATGGGAAATATTCATACTCATTTTTTTCCCCAATACAGAACATAAGTGTCACATAGGTGGGGCTGGAGCGATAGCACAGACGGGAGGGCGTTTGCCTTGCACACAGCAGACTCGGATTAGATTCCCAGCATCCCATATGGTCCCCCGAGCACCCGCCAGTAGTTAATTCCCAAGTTGCATGAGCCAGGAATAACCCCTGTGCATCACCTGGTGTGACCCAAAAAGCAAAAACAAAAACAAAAAAAAGTGTCACATAGGTGGAGAAATAGTACAGAGGGCAAGGCAATTGTTTCACACCATCCAACCCGGGTTCAATTCCTGGCACCCAGTATGGTCTCCTGAGCTCTGAGCCAGGAGTGATCCCTGAGTGCAGAGCCAGGAGTTACTTGGAAGGGGGCCTCCCAAGCAGTGCTCAGGGGACCCAGGGATCACTTCTTGAAATTCTTGGCCATTTGGTTGCAGCTGTACAGATTAAATGGGCCCCTCTGCCCATTCAAATGTGAAGGAAAACAAAGATGAAATGCCAGAACACATTGTTGATCATTGTTTTAAAAGGCAGGGTGTGGTTTTAAGGAATGGAATTTCAAAAATTCTAACTCCTGCAGCCAGAGAGATAGAGGAATACTTGCCTTTCACGCAACCAACCTGAGTTCAATTCCCGAATCCCACCCAGAGTTATTACTGAGTGCAGATACAGAAGCCCAAGAGCAGACGTGGTACCGCTCCCCCATATTCCTAACTTCTAGACTCAAAGGGTGGAGTGCATGCTTTAGTCCAGGTTCAACCGTGATCCTTAACCCCATGCCCCAGTACTGATGACCCAATACCCCTCCCCCCCTAAAAATATCTCTGGAGCTTTTCTGAATTCAAAATTGATCATCAGGAAACAGCAAACCAAACTTATTTCTACAAGGGGATATTACCAAGTTATAATGTCAGGGATTGAATTCAGGGCCTCACACATCCAAGGCAAATGTTCTTTCATGGAGCCAGTTAATCACCAGAGTATTTCTTTCTGGTTTGGTTGTGGGGATTGGTTTTTGTTTGGCGGGGGAGGGGGACACACACACAGTAGTGAGGGAGAAGTATTTAATATTTGGCTGTTACATAGTTCTGTAATTTTGAGTATTTCCCCAGAATAAAATGAAAGCATCTTCTAAAATTTCAAGAATAGCACATTGGGTAGTAGGGTGCTTGCCTTGCATGTGACCAACCCGGGTTCCATCCCAACATCCCACATGGACCCCTGGGAAATGCTGAAAGTAATTCCTGAGTGCAGAGCCCGAAGTTCCTGAGCATCACTAGGTGTGGTCCACCCCCAAAAAATCAAAAATCAATAAAACCCTGAGACTGGGAGTTGGGAGAGCAGGCTCAGATTGGGAGTAAGGCAGCCACGCAGGAGGCACAAAGTCCAACGCTCTTGAGAGCTCTTTTCC